AAAAATTCTGGGGAGGGGATGTACATGACTGTAATCCTAGCCACTCAGGAAAAGAGGACAGGAGGATAGGGAAGTTTGAGGCCATGCTGGGCTACAATTGAGCCGTTTTAAAAAACAACCAAAAAAAAAAAGCATAATTAAAAAAAAAACCTTTTGTAACAAAAATAAAAAAATTTCTCCTTCCCCCGTTCAACAGATGCTAATTAAAGGTAAACTGAGTGTTTTACTAACAAACTACTTGTATGTTGTCCTAGGGGTTTGATTCGGGCTGTGTTGACTCTATGGCAAAGACATGAGATGTGACCATTAAGGTATGGTAAGACCTATGTTTTCCACCCCTAAAAATGGCATTTACATAGAACTTTAGCATCTTACAGTACTTTGAAGTATAACTATTATGAAAATACTGAGTAAAATCAAACCCTGCTACAAATTTACAGCACATACACTATCATAGCTGCTTGTAAAAATGCACTGCGTTGTCTGAAAGTTGGAAATGGTTTTAATAAAGAATCCCATAAGGCAGAACTAAAGCATAATGTGCATTTGCTAATACAGTACTTGCTTCCTTTTGCAAATACCATGTAAACTGGTCTTTAACCAAACAAAAAAAAATCCCTAATTTTTATTTCCTGAATTGTGAAGAAATCTGGCCATGTAAGGAAAAGATTCTCTGACAGCAAATCTGGGTACCAGTGCACCAACAAGTTGACTGGAATGCTGACAACTCTTTTGGGTAAGGGAACAGAGGGAACTGGTTTGTGACAGCTCATCACAGGTAACACAGCTTTTTTCTTCACTCACCCACGCAGGTGGCTCTCAGACAAGGTTCACCTTTCAGAAGAGTCTTCATGGTGGTAACAGAGAAATGCTGAAGTCATCTTAGTGACAATGTGATGGATCAAACGATGGCAGATACGGAATTTGACAGTGTAACTGCTCTCACTTCTCCAGGCTTCAGAACAAAAGCAACGCCGGCAGAATCAAAGTATCTGTAGAGGATGTTAGACTCATTAAAACTAAATATCAGAAAAAAAATTCTCCAATGATAAAATATTGTCAGAAGTCCTTAGTAAGAGTGCACTTACACTTTGCCTCTAAATAATGTTTCTTGTTAAGGATTAAAACTTTCCTTTTTTAGCCCTTCTTCCTTTCTGCATTTCAACTGTTTTCTTGTATTTAAGGTTTTGTAACTGAGTGACTTTGATATTGGATGTTGATTCAGCCTTCTCACTGAATAAGCCTCCTTGACAATAATGCTCAACATGTGTTTGCACTGAATTTACAAATCACTTATTGCTATGATCAACTATTCAAAATTTAATTGCATTTAATTCCATAAGGAAATAAACAGGTACAAAGATAAAACTGTGCACAGGCTAGCCATACCATATAAAGACAGGTGACAAAAACCTAATACTGCTTTCTATTAAGTAATGATTTTCAACTCATTTTATACCAAGTTACAAATTTTTAAATGTCTACTTCATTCTTGGATTCAACACTATACAATCTTAGTACAATGGAGACTACTTTTCCTATGACCTCTTTCACATTCTCCTAGTGTGCTAAAGGCTCAATGTAACAAATTTAATATAAAATTATGACAATTATTGGTAATACCTATATAATGTTTAAAAATGTATTCTTATGAATTTGTACCAAAATAAAGCTTCTGATCTATCTGTAGGCTCATATTTGATGACCAGTTAATACTGTAAGCAAAAAAATACCTGAATAAGTTAACATTTACATACAAAAATAGAGAATATATACAGTGAGCTTAATGGCATCTCATAGAATTATATATTAGAATACTGTATCAAGCTGATTAAAAAGTTCACGATTTAAAGTGTGAATCTTTTTAGATTATCAGGAGACAATCCTATTCTGAATGCTTTAAAAGCTTAGTAGTTTTTCATCTTCCCCATCAAATGAGATTTGTGTGCTTGAAAAATATGGAGTGATAGCAGGTACTTCTCTGGAAGATGCCTGGAGTGTCTCAATATTTATTAGAAAGTTTGTTGTTGTTCCTTCCTATTATGGCTTATACTCTCTCTACAAGCAAAATTAGAAATAAGGGCAAAATAGTTTCTGCTGGGTATTGAGGGGTGGGGGGAGAGGGAGGGGGCGAGTGGGTGGTAAGGGAGGGGGTGGGGGCAGGGGGAGAAATGACCCAAGCCTTGTATGCACATATGAATAATAAAAGAAAAAAATAAATAAAATAAAAATGAATAAAATAAAATAAAGAAAATTTGTTGTTGTTTAGGAAAGAAACTAAGCATGCATTTCATAGTTCTTTTATCCTGCACATCCAGATCAGTAAAAGACTGTGGTTAGGAAAGCCACAAGGTTGGAAAGAGTCCACAAATCACGTATTTTGTCAAAATAACTATTTTCTGCCTACAAAACCAAGGAAAGTTAAGAAACTCAAGGAGAACTCAAGTCATAAACACTGTAACTGGGCTTGTTCTACCAGCCAGCAGTTACACCAATGAGTATCTCGATTCTGTTTCAAAGACAACTACTTCTGTCTTTCTGAGGTTTATGAAGCCATAGTGCAAAATTATTAGAAACAGAATTAAATAGACTCAACACTAAAACAGAACATAATTGTTCTTCTTCGATGTGATGTGAAAAACAAATTCTTGGCCTGGGAATCAGATCAGGTTTTCTTGATCTCAAGGCTGAGTGGTCTTGAACAAGTTACTTCACCTTTCTGAGACTATTTCCTCCAACGGCAAATAAGATGGTTGTACTGGATAAACTTCAAAGGCCTGTCAAATTTGACTGAAACACTAAGTCAGAATCTGGCCTAGTGCTTCTCGAATGGTATGAAGAACAATTACCATCACAGTGCAGCATTAAAATCATTCTGAGTTGGAGGATTTTCTGATGCTTGTATTATGGTTAGTCGGAGTTTTCTACACTTGCTGCAGCTAATAATAAGTATTGTTTATCTAATAAAAACATAATAAATGCACTTTATATTATACATAAAGTCTACTTTGACATTCACTTGGATGGTCTGGAGAAATTGTATATTTATATAGCCTTATTTAATTCCCTTATAGTTGAAATCCTGTACCTTCTCAACTCAGCAGCAAAAGAACACAGGGAGAAGAGAGGTAAATTTTGGGTTAAAGTGTTTATATGAAGAATAATAGAGTGCTTTTATTCTTTAATTTTTTATATTTGAAATTTAAAAATGAATTTTTAAAAACTATATACCTAATGCATAAAACCAAGGGTCTCTAACGGTACAGCACTGCTGTGAAAGAGTTAGTTTACTGTCCAGTCTGAATGCTCTACCAACCCAACAGCGTACTCGGCACTATTCTTAAGAATACGGCGATGTACTTTCTGGCTCTTCTTTTAACAATTATCAAAACTGAGATACTAGCAGAGGACTCAGAGCTCTGCTTCTTCTACCTCAAGCCAGAAGCTAAACATGTTGAAGTCGTATTTGGAGGAGGGCGTGGTTGAGTGCCAGATGCAACCTTAGGACTAGGATAAATAATCTCTTCAAACAGTTACGTATGTACCTAGCAAGAAGCCAACAACTCCAGTGAATGCTATAGAAGTATTTTTCAGGACCATCCATATGTTGTAATGCTCCTTTGAAAATATAAGAACTTCAACCAGAGGTGGTAGGATCAGGGCCAATGTGCTGCTGCTCACAGCTCCAACAAAGGAAATCACAATGTCTAACCGAGGAATGAGAATTGCTCCAGCACCTAGAAAACAGAAATACATGCTCTTCTAAATTTAAATGTTTGGCACTTACATGAATACTAAATGTAGATCTTTTCGATACAGTAAATGTAATTAACAGAAGTCAGATTCTGAACTACTGCTTGTGGAAAAATATTTTGCTCTGAGTGATGAAAGAAAACAAACTAGAACAGAGAGTGATCTTTCCTGGGCTGTCACTTGTGAACAGTTTAACTTTATTTTTCCACTGTAAGTAAGTTCAGGTAGTTTATTTCCAAAGCATTTCCATTATTCTGCCTCCTACACAGCTCATTCTACAATACACAAAACAGGTGGTATGGTTTGAGTAAGAGATAGTTTACAATAGAATTCCAAGTAACTGATATAAAAGCAACAATGGAAACAGCAAATCACAGTTATGCAAACACCACTATAATCACTGAGCAAGAAGAGTTGCTGAAGGAGACTAAAACTTGTGGTCAAAAACTGGATGAGTTAGATATGCTGGTGCACAACTTCAAGCCTAGCACTAGAGAGACTAAAGCAGGAGGACTGCTAGTCAAGGCCAGCTTGGGCTACACAGCAAGATGCTGTCTCCAAAAAGTCAAAGGCCTAGGATGTGGTTCAGTGGTATAGCACTTGCCTAGCATGCCCAAAGAACCTGGATTGGATCTCCAACCCTACGATGAAAAAAAAAACCGAATAAGGATATTTACAAACTCTGAAAGTATCTTCCCTAACACACTAATGATAAAAGGAAAACAGTTCTTTGGAGTACAGAAATATGTCAGAGACCACCTTAACCAAGTTATCAAAGCTAACATAACCAATAAGAGATAGAGGTACTGGGATGTAGTACCTAGCATCAGTCTTGTGGTATTTTTGCTAAACATGCCTAACTTTAAACCAGTGTGGTGCTGTACATCTGTAATCCCAGTACTTGGGAGGATAACACAAAAGGACCACAAGTTCGTGGCCAGCCTGGGATATACAGTCAGACTCTGTCTCAAAAAAGGAAGAAAAAAAAAAAAAGGCTTAATTTCAATCACAAGAAAGCACCAGAAAAATCCAAACTGAAGGAAATTCTACAAAAACTACTGGCATTTCAAAAGCATCAAGATCCAGAAAGCAAGGACTATCAAGATTAGAAAAAACTAAGAAGACATGACAACTAAATTAAAGTGGAACCTCAGAGTCACTCCTGGACCAGAAAAGGCTATTACTGGTAAAACTACAGTAAGGTCTATAAATTGTAGCATTGTATCCATGCTATTATCCTGGTTTTAGTAACTGCATTATGGTTATACACCTGTTAACATCAGAGGAAGTTAAGTAAAGGGTTTATAGTAACTCTACTTAATTTGACAACAATCTAGTAACTCTACATTTGACAACTTCCTATCTAAATTACTTCAAATTGAAGTCATTTTTTTCAGTAAGTCAAGTTGTGCTTAAAAAGTACTATTATAATTTCTTTGTGTTTGGAGCCTTCCAAACCCTCTTTTCTAGCTCTTCATGAAATATGTGAGTTGTTATAAACTACAGTCACTTTACTGTACCATAGAACATTAGAATTTACTCCTCCTACCTAATGGCATACTCCAGTATTGTGAGCAGGATTATCTTTCCAAGTCATTCACAAGTTTTCTGTTAAGTTTTAATCTGCTGCTTTCTTGATGGTATCTTGATCTTACCAAAAGGTACCCATAGCAGATGTGCAAAAACCTAGTCTTACATTCTTTCTTCAATTCATCCTTAAATCATCTGCTGAGTGGTTTACTGAGGGTTTGGAGTGTGTCCCTCTGGAAGCTGTGGACATTACCGGTGCCTCCAGACATAATCCTGCCACCATGCTGCTTCTCTGACGTCCAATTACGCAGCTGGCAGCTGTCCATGCTTGTCTCCCACTGCTACCATTTTCTCTCTAATCCTGTTATCCTGCTCTGTATTTCTAAGTCCATTTCCTTTTGTTTCTCAACACTTCTACCTTCTTTGTCTTTTACTAAACATTCTGTGAGATATCTATATGTCTACACCTATACATACAGTTTAATTTGTCCTTTTGTAATTTAATCTTGATTTGCAGTCTACTGGTTTCTCTATTTGTTAATTTTTGTTCATGAGTTTTTTAATCCCTTCTCCTTGTAACTCTCCATGTTTTTCAAGAGGATGTAGGATTAATTTGGAACTAAGTTACCACTGTATTTTTCATAGAAACTGAAGCTATTACTTACCATTTTCTGTTCAAATTGTTTTGGAAGCTAGTCATAAAACTGTTTTGAAATTATAAATCTAACTGCATACCTATACGGCTAAAAGTCAGATAAGGCCAGATAAACATAACCAGAACCTCACCATCCTAAACAACTTTCCATTTGGAATCTACTTTTTCTCAGTGATCTTTTTCAATAATCCAAGCTATCAGTAGTAAATTAAGAGAAATAACACTGGAAACCATCTGGAGGAACACTGTGTAACTGTAGTATTTACACGCTTAATTTCTATCACCAGACACTTTTAAGTCATGTAATAGTATAATTACAGTGAGATAAAACCATTCTGTAAAACATTATATAAGCAACAAATCTTTGTTACAGAAAAGGCTCAATATTTGATGTTATTAGTATACTTTCACCAAACCAAACATATAAAACTCAAATGAACAAAAACAATAAATCAAGGGATAATTTAGTCATTACAAAAATTCACTACAGGATTATGTTTTAAGTAAGTTGTCCCGTGTCATCTACACACAACTAGGTGAATAAAATTGTTTTTAAAATAATAAAATATGTAATTTAAGCAGCTTCACTTTAATAAATGCAACAATAAAAACTTAAAGCAGTAAGGATTATAACCAGTTCTCTAATTGATGGCCAAGCAAGAAGGAATCAGTAAGTTTCCTTTTGTAACAACATAGTAATCATAGACATGAGAAGAAATAAGGCTTAGTAGAAATACAGCATATAAGAAATAAAGGAATTCTTTAGGCTATCAAAAATAAATCTCAATTTTAAATTAGCTAAGGATGCCTTTCTCAGCTTGAGGCTTAAAAGTTAAATAACTCTAAATTCAAGTTATTGAAAATATACAAACTAAAACCAAAAGATTGCTGGTTCACAGGCTCTGATATGCAATTGCAGAGAATTAAATGAATGCTCTCATTAGTTTGTTATTAATTTAAAAGAATTGCATTGCTTTTTGAAGCTCACTTCCAAAGTTCCTAAGACTTGAGACTGTTTTGGTCTTCTCTATATAGGCCTGCAATGCATTTAGTAGGTGACACATATTAACATTAATCCATCATATGGATAACCTTACATTTAAAAAACCCAACTTGGGAAATCAGTTGTTGGCTGATTCTTTCTCTCAAGGTTGAATACAGAAGTTAGCCTTGAAATACTTGAATAACTCACTTTCCCTCTTTGTTCTTTCATCATAGTCAGGTTGAGAATCTTGACAGCTTATCTCTGTCAAGAGGAAAAGTTATACCAACGGAGGACTAGCTATAATCCAGTAACCATCTTCAACATGTTCTCTAGAACATAAGCTTTACAAAGGCTTTTATCTGTTCCCTCGGTATCTCTAGAGTGAAGAGAACTTGGGACATACTCAGCATGCAGTAAATACCTGTTGGATTAATAAATGACTTTGGTAGACACCCTTCATTTCAAATCTAACATAATTCCTATCAGCCATCTTCATACCAGAGGCAGTTTGGGCCAGACCCCCATTACAGGCAACTTTAATATCAGAAGTTGATTACTAAGAGGTTGTGAGGATATACGAATCTTCTTTTTCAGTGTCCTCACGTTTACTTAGATAGTTATGACTGACTTGGTGCCTCTTGGTGAATCCACTCTTTCCTAAATACCTTCACGTAGGTGCCAACCTCCTTGAGCTTGGCCCACTGACTACCAGGACATCACGGAAGGCAGCTGGATCTCTTGCCACTACACATCAGTTTTTTCCCACACTGTTCAGACTCCGAGCTCTAGCAGGCTACAGATAGGGACTCAGACTTGGGCTCTATCCTGTTTAAGGATTTAAAAAATGAAGTCCTAGTACAATTATTTTAACAAATTATAAAATGCCTACCTACCCCATCGCCTCTTTTCCTGCCCAATGCACATTTCACAAAGAATGCCACACCAGACAAAGGCAGTCATCTTACTGCCTCTCAGCATGAAAACCTAAGCCTTTCATATTCACTAGTAGAGTTTACGGGTGGTCAATTGATTTAGCATGTGAACATATTCCAAGCCAGTACTTTTCAAATTCTAGCTCACACACAGTCGTGTGTTAGGATACCAATCCATAGGCTGTGAGGAGTTTTTCCTAATGCTATAGCTGGGGACAGAAAACACCAGAATGATTTTTATTTAACCTTTCACTTATTTCAGTTATTTTATGTGTGAACGCACGAACATGCAGAAACTCAGACACAGACACACTGGGTTTTTCTATAAAACTTATCTTCCTTTCTTACTATGGGTTGCAGTTCAAAAAGCCACTGACTAAAACCAAATAAGTAGGCAAAGTAATTGTGATGGGAAAAGGTAAAAAGAATGGATCTTGTTTTTGACTGGTGAAAAAAAAAAAAGAAGGAAAAGAAAAAAGCCATGCTCAGTGGCTTCACCTGTAATTCTAGCTACTGGGGAGGAAGAAAATCAGAGGATTACAGCTCCCTGCCAGTCCAGGCAAAAAGTTCTTGAGCCCCCATCTCAACCAACAGCTGGGTGTGGTGCTGCCCACCTGTTATCCCAGCTAGCAGAAAGCACAAATAGGAGGATCAAGGTCATAAAGGGAGGGGCCCTATCCCAAAAGCGACCAACATAAAAAGGGCTCTCGGAGTGGCTCAAGTGGTAGAGCACCAGTGTAGAAAGCATGAGGTCCTCAGTTCATCCCTCCCGTACAGGGGTGGGGGAAGCACAAAACGAAAGTGAAAAAAATGAAACTACAACAAAAAGAAACAAAGAAAAGTCTCTGCTCCTATGATGTATATCACCACCTGAGAGGCCTCCTTAAGACAGAACACAAATGCTATTTGTTATTCCTTCTGCTTACGACATGCTCCCAGCACTTTTAGCTTAAAGACAGGGTCTCGTGTTTTTGCCTGGGGTATTCTGGACAGTGATCCTATTTGTGTCTTCTGTGTAGCTGGGATTATAGGAATGAACTACCACATGGAGCTTTTATGTTGAGATGGTGTCTTGCTAACTTTTTGCCAGGTTGGCAGCACACCCTCTCAATCTTCATCTCCCAAGTAGCTGGGATTACAGACGTGAGCCACCACATCCAGCCTAAAAGGTGCAGTGTTTAACAGTAGAGCACAAACTGATGCTGTGCTGAAAGTAGGCCATTTGTGGTACTGCCCCCAGGGAACTGCTTTTTTCTTTCCCCTGCTATTTCGGTTACTGCTATACTTTGGTAAGTGTCCCCCAAAGGCCCATGTAGTAAAAGCTTAGTCCCCAGCTTGGCACTTTTAGGAGGCTGTGAAACCTGTAAGAGGTGGGGTCTTGTGGGAGGTCTTCAGGACATGGGGGGAGGCTGCCTTTGAAGAGGCAGAGGAACACAGCCCCTTCCTCTTCAACTTTCCCACTGCTGGGCCGTGAGGTGAGTGGGTGGCTTCACTTTGCTGTCTCTCATCATGATGTGTTGCCTCAACACAGGTTCAAAGCAACAGAGCCAATTACTCGTGGACGGAAATTTCTAAAACTGAAAGCCAAATAGATTTTTTCTTACTTTTCACTTTATAAGTTTATTTGAGGTATCTGTTGAAACAGAAAGTAAGTTACTTTACAGAGAAACTTGGAAAAACACCGCTAAAACACTACTTGATTAGGACTAGGGGTGTCTTGTTCACACGGGAAGTGCTTTTAAACCTGAACAGTATTCAGTAATTCTGCACCAAGTGCCTCCCGGGTGTGAGTCATCATCTAGATGGCAGACGGAAGGTGCAGAGCCCATCCTCGCACGCTAAGGTTCTATCTAGCTCAGAATCATGAATTTGCCTCATTATCACCTTTAAATCACACTCTTCACTTCACATGCCAAATTTATTACGTTGAACAGTGTTGCTCATAAACAGTGTTTTAAAGAGATATGTCAGAGAGATTGAGAATATCAATAACTTGGAGCTTCTCTAAGCCACACTTCCTTTACCCTAGTGTTTCTCTCCAATTCAATCTTTCCTTGAAGAATACCCTTACAGATGCAGACTGTCAATCAGTTTGGCCTCAAAAGCTGTTTGGCGTCTCTTAACATTAGTTCCCTCGGTCGCTCTGGTGACGGCCATCCTCTTTCACACTCAGTGGTACACTGTGCCTTCCATGGCCGCTTCAATTAAACACGGGAAGAGAAGGCAGGAAGCATATTATGACAAGAATCTCAGACAGTACCCCAGGGTCACTGTAGTCACTCTCACGTTATAGAAGGCTGTAACTACAAGAACCTGCACTCTACTCCAGTGCAGCCACGTACTGTGTTGTCCCTCAGGTGAATATTAACAGTCCCACAACTGCAAGCCACACAAAGCGTGTCTCCATCGGTAAGTAATGAACAGGAATTAGCGAACAGAAGTTCTCTGAAAGGAAGTATTTATCTTGACTTGCTTTCCCGTTTGCCCCAGGTTTTTATTATTTCTTACAATAATATTTGTAGGCTTTTTTCTAGATGAAAAATCAAGAGACTTGCTAGACTTTCCTTGAGTGCAACTATGACCTAACAGTCTCCTTGTAATTGAGAGCACAGCTAATTCCATTCTAACAGGAGATTCAGAGGACCAGAGAGGAGGTGAGAGGTGCGGGGGCTGCGGCAAAGAGAAGGGCCACTTGGAGCTACTGCAGGGACCCTGTTACCCCAAGACTGAACTCCCACTATTCTTGTCCACTGCTCCTTCATGTTTTTAGCTGTCTGGGGATAAGAATATCTTAACTTGAATGGGTCCATACTTCCACTTCAGTCCCTTCTCTGATAAGATTTTCCTTAAATGCTTTTGAGAATAAGAGAAACAAAAAATTCCGAGATTGTTTCTACCTACATTTTATATTTGACATTCAAAACGCCTGTTTAGGGCTTGGCACAATGACTCATGCCTGTAATCCCTGGTTCTTAGGAGGTGCAAACTGGGAGGATTGCAATTTGAGGACAGCCAAGCAAAACGATATTGAGACCCCATCTCAACAAATAATCCAGATGTCATGGTGTGTGCCTGTGATCTCATCTACATAGGAGGACTTAAACACTGGAATCATGGTCCAGGCTGGCCTGGGCAAAAGCACAAGACTCTATCTGAAAAATAACTGAAGCAAAAAAGGTTGGGGACATGGGTAAAGTGGTAGAGCACCTGCCTAGCAAGCACTGGGCACTGAGTTCACCACATTACAGCCAAAAAAAAATTTTAAGCCTGTCAATTTTCTTAAAAGAATACATACAAATGGCCAACAAATATATGAAGAAAATGCTCAGTGAGATTATACCACCTTACTCCGTTTACAGTGGCTATTACCAAAAGATGAGAAGTGCTGGCAAGAATCTGCACAACACTGGCAGCCACTATGAGAAACAGCTCAAAGTTCCCCCCAAAAAACAAAAATACAACTACTGTGCAAACCAGCAATCCAGTGCTTGATACATCAAAAAGACACCTGCTCTCCCATGTTCATTGCAGCACTATTCACAGTAGCCAGGATGTGGAATCAATGGTCATCAACAGACAAATGGATAAAGAAAACGTGCTATCATATACATACTTAATATAATACTATTTAGCATAAAAAGCATGAAATCCTGTCAATCATGACAAGCATGGACCTGCAAGACAGTATGTTAAATAAGAGGTACAGAAAGAAAAATACTGCATGACCTCACTGGTAACGGGATCTAAACAACTGATCTCACAGAGTGGAGAGTAGAATACTGAGAAGAACAGGGGGCTGGATGAGGAAGGCAGTCAATGGGTGTAATGTTACTGCTTGCTAGAGAGTAGGTTCTGGTGGTCTATGGCATAGCAGGATGTATTAGTTGGGCTTCTGCATCACTATGATCACATTACCTGAGAGACAACGTAAAGGGAGATTTATTTTAGCTCATGGTGGGGACAGTGTGGTGCAGCAGATCGTATCATGGCAGGCGGGAAGCAGAGCAAAGGGGGTGCAAGAAGGGGTCAGGTCATCAGCGACCTACTTCCTCCAACTAGCCCTATCTCCTACCTTTTACAACCCCATGATGCCATCACTGTATGCATCCATCAAGGGACGGATCCACTGATTAGGTCAGAGCCCTCACGAGCTAATCATCTCTGGGAACACCCAAGGTGTGCCTTACGAACCCAATGAAACTAACAATCACAGAGAGTGAGTATAATTAATAATCATGCATTATATATCTCAAAATAGTTTCAAGCAAAAAAATCTGAATGTACAAGCATGGAGAAATAATGAAGGTTTAAGGTGATAAATTTGTCATTAACTTTAGTTGACCACTGCCTCATGTGTGTGTAATCAGGACATCACATTGTACTTCATACATACACAAAAGTACTGTCGATCAAAAAACCAAAGTAACAAAATACTTGTCAAATTTAGCATGCTTTTTAAGATTCAGTCTAAATGATATTATGTCTGCACAGTATTCAAAAAGATGAGCTATACTACATTTCTTAGCCATCACTCTTATACTAAATTGTTGATTAAAGCATCTAGTCCTTCCTAAGCTTCTTGTTCATATTATAAAGAGGAAAAAAGCACATTTGAAGGATTCAAAATGATATAATGGGTTAATTAAATGGCTGCTAAACAACTATGTCTTATTTATAGCAATGACTCCAGCTTGTACCATATTTCTAACATTTGAAACATGTCTCCATTTTATAATAAATGAAATAATTTATAAGATAATTTATTTTATTAGAAATGCACAGTGTTTGGTTTTTTGGTAGCAAAGGAAGTTATTAATATTTTTATTAAAGTGTCTTCATACTGGATGAACCCATGTTCTGCTTCTACACTTGCCTCGAATTTAGAGTGACTTACAATTTTTAAATCCTTTTTTAAAAGAATCCAGAGGGATTCATAAATGGTCTCCTCTGACAATTATGAAAAAATTCTAGGTTACACAAATAAATCACACTAAAAACTTTAAATGTTTAAATCATACATCCATCAAATATTGGTCTATCTATAAAATATGTGAACTAGAATTCACAAACTTATATTCACCTACCACACATCCTGGGGAAGATTTAAAGTTATACTGCCTTTGATCTCATCATGAAAACACATGTATCTAAAGTAGCCAAGGTAACATACAAAGCTGACAATCCCCATGCCGATGCTCAATGCTTGAGGAAAGCGTTTTGATTCTTTCATTTGGTTTTCCAATGGAAGGACCTAAAAATAGGATAAAATTATTTTTTGAAGGACACAGGATACAAGTATCTCAAAATAACAGCGTCTCATATATACAAATTGGTCTACAAATTTTTTCTTTGAAAACGACACATATGATTGTTAGGTATTTTTCTAAAACCTGCTCTTAGCAGACAAACTTATCAGTTTTTTAAGTAACCTTTTTATTTTACAGTAAGTTACATTTACAAAGAAGTTGCAAAGAAGACACAGAAACCTCATACACACCCGACACAGCTTTCCTGCTGTTAACCTTTCCTATTACCCTGGCATGAACAGCACTGGGACATGACTGGTAACTGAACTCCAAACTTCATTTGAATTTCATTAGTTTTCCACTAATGCCTTTTCTCTGTTTCAGGCTCTCATCCAGAAAAATCACCTTGCTTCCTTAGTCTCCTCTGGTCTATGAGTTTCTCAATCCTTTCTTCTTGTTCATTATCTTGACATTTTTGGAGCAGTATTAGTTGTTTTGCATTGTGTTTCTAACATGGGTTTGTCTACACTTTCCTAGTCACTAGACTGGTATTACAGGTTTTAGAGGACACCACAGAGAGGAAGCGCTCTTCTCATTAGACATGTTATCCTGATGGTAACCTACCTGTTTCCCAGGATTCTCTGTTGTAAAGCTACTTTTCTTCTCCCTCCTCATACTCTCTTTATTGAAAGTGAGTCTCTAAATCCAGCCCGGATTTCAAGGACTAAGGGGGAATGAACTCCCCAAAAGAGTTTCCTCTTTTTCAGCTCTACATGAACTACTTGGGAGTCTTTCCCATGTGTTTGTGTAGGTTAGCATGGACTTGCATGAATCTGTTTTACACATCAGGCTAACACCTGATACTCTTTTATTCCTATTGTGCAGCACTGTGAATTCTCCCACAAAGGTTCCTGTGTCCTTTCACAGGCCTCCACTTTTGTTTTGGAGCACTTTCCCGCTTTATAGCACAAGAAACTCCACATTCATCTTACTTATTTGCTTCCACCCTAAATCAGACATTTTTTTCCAAAGAAGTATGGTTGACTTTGGAGAATGGTGCTTAAAAATCAGATCTGGGTGCTGGTGTGCTTGTTCCTACCAGGTGTCACTGCTTGTAGGCCTCAGGAGACAGAGGTAGGTAATGTACTCATGTCTGCTGACCCACGGACACATCTGTGACTATTTCCATGCATACACCTATACTACTGTTCGTCAGTTTTAGGAAGACCAATAGATGACTTTCATTGTGTTAAAAAAAACTTTTAAAGAAAGTCAGTAAAGGCTAAAAAGAAATAAAGTTTTTTTCAGCTAATCTTCAGAGGGTTTGGTCATACAATTTGATCCTATTAATGAAAACCCTGTGTAATTACAATAGCAAGTATTTACTTGAGTGTTTACAATATGGTAGGTATTATTCTAACAGCTTTGCAAGCAGCATCTCACAGTCATCAGTACATCCCAATATGATAATAACTCTACTATTATCCCCACTTTTCCTGAAAGTAAGTTAGCTATTAAGAGCACTACAGAGTGAAGAAGCAGGGTGATTCTGTGGAGACCTTCCAGATCCCGTCAGGGATGAATGTGCCAGTGCTGTTAGAAAAGAGAGGGGGGAGGAAACTAACATTTCCTGAGGCTCCTCTGTGACACACAGCATTGCAGGTGTTGTATGTATAATATGCTTTCTGGAACAGACTGGAGAAATAGGAAAGAAGAATCAGCATGCCTGAATAACTGACAGAATGGGGAACCAACAACAGAGTGAGAAGGATTTACTGCAATGTTTCAGCACAGTTAAGCTAACAAAAAAGGACAATGAGAAAGTGAAGCTGGTTCTGGATGAGAATGTATGTGATGGACTCTGAAGTTGTTGAATCTGAGATGTCAGAGACAATGCTTAACTAGAAATTTCCAAGAGTTAACTAAATACTAGAACTCACCAGTTAAACACAAAAATTAAAATTAAATAGATGTGAAAATTCTCTAAAGGAGAAACTTCAGAGAGCAAAACCCATGTCAAATGGTATATATCTT